AACGCCACTGACTTTGAGCGTCCGTACGAACGCAGCAAGCGTCACGAACGGCGGTTGTTGTTGTTGTTCTTGCCCTTCTCCAGCACCCCCGGTTAGCACGGTTGGCTGCGTATGGCGCGAAAGAAGTTCAACACGCGCACGTACGCACATACGTCGAAAATGGGCGAAATGTATTTAGCTGCTTAGCAACGGGCCCGTTTATCATCTCTCGGCTTACAGCCCTAGGCCAGTTGGAGGCAATTACACATTCCTTACGCAGGGAACTAGAGCAGTAGTACTAGTAGCCACTCCATATAACAAGCCGCGAACATATTTCAAAGAGATTTTGCCTTTTTCCGCCAGTCCCGGTTTGGTACCGGCTCAAGTGGCGGGCTACGTCGTGCAAGCTTGTTCAGCGAAGGCCGAGCAAGTGGTGGCCGAGATGTTAACTACCTCGCCTGGTAGGCAGGAGATCGTGGGGGTTCGATCCCGACCCTGACGCCTGCTTTATATTTGGAGTTTGCATCTCTCTCCCCCCCCAGTGGATTATTCTCCGGATCCTCCGGTTTTTACTTCCACATTTGGATTCAACAATATCACGTGTTGAGTATTTGGCCGCCGTAAATTTCCACGCGATAAGCCACTTCGTCGAGCTATCGTTTTTGGCCAGGTCGCTTCTGCAGGCGAGCTATAAAGCTCAGCGGGCCTTACGTGGCAAAATCTAAAATAGTTTAAATAGTTTAAGTACGGTGCTACGTACGCAGTGAGCAACATGCTGGTCTGCGCCTCCGCCTCATCCGCCTGCGCGTAGTCGTCATCGTCGTCGTCGCCCCTCCGAGGAGGAGGAGGCAGTCGCCCCCCCCTCCCTCGCCGGCGCCACCGTCACACCGCTCCCTGCTCCTGCTGCTGGGCAAGCCGGCGGCCCAAAGCCCGGCCCGCAGTCGTAGGGCAGCTGGTACACGGACCACGCCGGCACCGTCGCCCCTGCCGCCATCGACCGAGTGTCGGTGGACGTGGGCGACTGCGGAGCGCACAGCCCCGCGTAGAGCGCCGTGTCTCCGAGCTCCTGGCCCGGCGGCAGCGCCAGGTGGCACCCGCCGTGCTGCTGCTGCTGCTGCTGGTGGTGGTGGTGATGGTGGTGGTGGTGAGGGTGGTGCAGCGGCGGCTGCGACGGCTGCTGCCCTGACGCCGCCGTCGCCGCCAGGCCGGCCTTGAGGGAGGAGGAGTCTTCGCCGCCGTGGAAAACGGGGGTCACGTGCGCAGGACCGCCGGGCGGGTAGAACACCGCGGCGGGCACGCAACCGGCGTTTCCCACACCGGAGCAGGCGGCGCCACCGCCGCCACCCTGCATGACGCCGTCGACACCGTCGACGCCGTCGAGGTCTCGGCCTAACCTGGGATGCGGGCTCAGCGTGGGGGGCAGGGGGGACGGCGACTGAACCACCTCGGCGGCCGACGGAGGCCCGCCGCCGGAGCCTCCGGCGCCGCCGTCGGCAGCCTTGCCACCCGCCTGCCCGGCTGACCACAGCTTGTCGGCCTTGCCGGCGTGGTGGTGGTGATGGTGTGCGGTCCTCGGGGTGCCACCCCCGATGGCCTCGAGCTCGGGCAGCAGGAGACCCGCCGAGCCGGCACCGGGACCGCCGCCGGCGCCCGCGGCGCCGCCGGCACCGCGGCGCCGCCGACCGCGGCGTTCTCCTCGGCCCGGTGGTGGAACGGCGTGAAGGGACGCGCCGCCTTGGGGGTCCCTCGCTCGGCCCCCGCCCCCGCCCCCTTGTCGCCCTTCTCCATGCAGGGCTTGTGCTTGGACGAGGGGAGGGCGGAGCCGGACGACGAAGAGGTGGAGCTCGAGGAGGTGGGGAGGGAAGAGGAGCCACCGCCAGGGCCTTGCGACAGCGAGCCAAACGGCCCCGAGCTCCCGCCTCCGCCGCCGAGTCCGGAGGGTCCCGAGAGGGGAGCGGGACGTGCGCTCAGCTGCCCACCGCCGCTTCGCTGCCTCTGCACCTTGTGCCTGTTGGGGTCGGAGTCAAAGAGTCCGTCGGGACGTTCGGCACAACGGCAAACCTGGGGAAAGAGCCTCGCCGCCGCCATAGGTTGACGTCTCTGGAGGGTTCAACACAGTGGCCATCCAAGGGGCCATTTGGTGGCAACATTGCTGTGACACGAGCCTAAATAGTGGCTTCTACTGAAGGTTAAACGATACTGTCTGAGTGGAATGCGAAAGAAACAAATAATTCTTAAGAGTGTTCATAGAGTAGACCCACAGCTGAACTGCTTTGTAAGCATCTCTCTCAAGCCAGGTCCTTCCTCAAACACATATCGGCAATCATGGCATAATTCCCTTCAATTTCGTGCTGTCCGTGATATGAACTGAAGAACTTCGCAAGAGATACTCCTCGCAGTTGCATCCACTTGTTCAAATGGCTCGTGCAAACTTAAGCTCGCAGTCTTCCCTGGCTAATCGTACGTAAAATTACGAGTGCAGTGTGCGTCCTATTGAGGGTCCGCCAGTGTAGAGTGCAGGTAATAATTGAGTGCAGTGTGCATTCTAGAGGGACAGGCATAGCAATAGTCTAGGTAATAATACGAGTGCGGTGTGCAATCTAGAGTGTAGCTCCGCTATTGCAGCTCAGCGGTCACGTGCAGCACCTTGAACAGCAGCATGGCGTACGGTTCGACGGCTCCAGGAAGTCCCAGGATGTGAGTTTGCTCGACGCCGCCTCGTCGTCCGACCCCGCCATCGCGCGCGTACGCCTGGGACACCGACCGCGAGGCACCAGCGCACTTGAAAATCACACCCCTTTGCACGTCATGAGAACCACACACGTAGAGCAGTGCCCTTCGTTTGCAAGGCCCCGCGGTGCCACTGGTGGCCTGCAGTGCGGCCCCCGAGGTGCGGCTCCCGACAAGACACAGAGTAAGAACACCCCCCCCCACACACACCGCATCATCACCGCGATGCTGTCAAATCCCATAATGGTTTCAAATGTGGCGGCCCTCACACCGATGATGTCTTGTCAGCGAGTGTCTCCCCCACCCCCCCCCCCCCCCCCTCTGACAATTAGTGAAGAACTCAGTTAACACGTAGGCTTTCGCGACAAATATTAGCCATCAAAGGTTTTTTCGGGATAGATCGCATAAATGCGAAATCGTCGTTAAATCGAACACCAGCACAATTAGTAAAGTTTGTCACGTAAACAAAACGTGCCAATCGCCCTCGTTCAGTACACCCGGTGTAAACCCAGTGGCCCGCGAGGGTCTTGTAAATGTTGTGGTTTACTCTCCAACATACCAGTGTGCTGAACTAGTAACCAATTGGCACGTTTTTTTACGTGACGAACCTTACATACCAAATGGGCCGTGTCGAGTGGTGGCGGCGGGTTTAACGGCACGTTCATATTTACGCCGTAGAGCGCGGCAGGCAGATTGGTAACACGCGAGAGCGCAGCAGGGGTCGTTGCCGGCACACGATGGTGCCACTCACTTGAGAGGCGTCCTGTCCTGGTTGTACTCTTCCCACGAGTGCTCCACCATCCAGTTGGCCCACTTGTGCGCGCTCTCCGCCAGCGTGGCCCGGGCTGCTGCCTCCGGCGGCCAATGCCGCCGCCGCGGCCGCGGCGATGGCCGCGGCCGACGGGATACCACCTGGCACGTCCGGTGGCGCCGCGCCGCCCGGCCCTCCCGACCGCGACATCGGCATGGTCACGCAGGTAGTCTGCGGGAAAATTCGCAATCAGAATTGTTTATTGTATCCCTAGATACATCTGATAAGGCTATGAAGGTCTTTTTTTTTATACAGGTGTCTTCTAGTTGGGGCGGCTCAAGAAATGACTTGGTTCAATCGAGCGACTATTGTGGAATTCACAGATAATGGGAAGAAATTCTCTGCCCACTCTGGATATCATCTCGGCACGGTGGCGAGATGTTAACGACCTCTCCTGGTATACTGGTGTTCGTGGGTTCGATCGCGACCCTGACGCCTGCTGTATATGTGGAGTTTGCGTGTCTCTCTCCCCCCATGGTCATGTGGATTTTTCCTTCAACATTTAGAATCAGCATCACGCGTACAGAGTATCTGGCTCCTGTACATTTCCACGTGATAAGCCACTTCCGTTCAGCTATCATCTGTGATAGCCAGGTCGCTTCTGAAAAAGAGCTGTATAGCTCGGTGAACCGTATCTGGTAAAATAAAACAAAAATAGTTTATGTGATTCGTGGTGAAGGGGAGATGGACGAGTGAAGTTTTTTCTTTCTTCCCGAACATAAAATGGGAGCGGGAGCCGGAGAGGCAACCGTGCCAACGGCGGTTTGACTCCGTGCCACAATCAACAGCGAAGAAAATAGCGAACGTTCCCCTGAGAGCTTCTCCCGAGGAGTATACTTGGCCTAAAGTAAACATCGGTAGGTACAGCGCCAACGTGGTCAACGCGAGCGCACAGGAAGGCAAACACATGCAGGTTGTAGACGGTGCCGCTGGCCACACTACCCCCCCCGCCACCGCATTGGATGTTGAGTTAGAACAGTCTCCGTGATGCGCGGACGATTAGGGGGCCAGGTGGTTTTTCCGTCACTGCGAGTGGAAATTTAGCAACAAAAATGTCGCTTTATTTTTGCCGTTTGACACTCCCAGTTCGTCGTGCCTCCAACCCAAATCATTGCGGACAGCCCAAGGACTCGGGGGCACTTTGAGGCAGAAACAGACCTGAATGCCAACTCAAAAACATTTAGAAGAAAATTATCAGAAAGGGGTTTTCAGTCACCGGCTATCGGATTTGCGCTCAAATTAACGCGTCGTCAAATACTGGGGACGGTACGGTGGGTTCTCTTGGTAAACGGCAAAATGAGTGAGGTCACACCATGGGTGAGCAGAACACTGTAAGAGATTTCCCCGGTTGCCAACTGGCGTTGGTGGGGAATGCCATTGCCAGCAGCGGCGTCTCCTCATCGTACTTTCCTTTTGCCAACACGTGATCTCCCGCCCCCCCTAGTCCCGTGGGGTTTCCGATTCATCGCGCACCTCGCACCGTTTATTTAAGAAAATATATTTTCAGGCTACAGACAGTAGAGTGTGCCTTTGGCCTCCCTGAGCCACCAATGTGATTCAATGGGACCATTACATTACATTAAATCACTCAAAACTGGCATAGAGTTGCACTACGGTTCCAGTAAGGGATGTTTGTTTTTTTATCTCCCAATTTCCTATATCGCCACGTGTCTGTCCGGTACTTAAAAGGTCAAGCAGACAACAAATAAAATATCTTATCTGCACAATATTGTCCAGAGCGCTGGAAATAGTCGTAGAAAAACTACTCCACTTCTCAAGCAGCACGATTCCTCCTCTAGCCAAATCCATCCCGTCTTCAGCCAGGTCACATTGCCACATTAGCCACTGCAGCAGGAGTTAAGAGAAATCTACGGCTTTTTGGACAAGATGGTAAATACCTCGACGCGTCTTCACCGCTTCATCAACAGCATATGGACACAGGAGATCGGATTTCTAACTTCAAGAATGAAAGGCTGGCATCGACAACAACGCCCTCGGGTTCGTTTAGAAATTATCAGAGCAATAAAGCACAGAGGGAAGGCAACGACGGAGCGCGAGTAAAAGAGCGCACGCGCGGGTTTGTACGACGCTGGCGGTTCGTGAACACTCAGAGCTGCGATTACACAAACCTAGGGTAGGACCCCACAACCAACGCAGACAGCACACAGGTCTGTATGGCAGATCAATGTGGTAACAAACGACGCGAGGGGGTTGTGTGGTTGGGGGCACACGGAGCCAGGAGGACGAAGGAGCACGCACGGAGCTACGGCGACATGCGGAGGAGATGGGTGCGCTGGAGGAGATTGAGGATGGAGCTGGGAGTCACGGGGAGGAACACGGGGGGGGGGGGGGCTCAGAGAGACAGTTGAGTATTTAGTAGTTATTTTGTCATCTCTATCGTGTGTGGGGAAAAGGTAATTATTGAACGATAGTGATAGGCAAAGCAACGCACTTAGGGGCGAAGAGACAGCATGAGGATGTTCCGTGCAAGTTCCTTGCTTGTGCCCAGGGTTTTAATTCACTTAAAGTATGTTTTATTTCTTTATTTTAGCTCAGATGGCTAAAGAGAAAACCTTGGCTGCAACCTTCTTTGTGATGTAGAAAAAATGATGGCTTTATAGGGTAGTGGGCCAGGGCACTTCGTGTTCCACCACAAAACTCTCCGGCATCACATTCCATGACCCGAACGGAAAGCTGCTACGAGTTAAGGCCAACGAGCAACCGGTAGACTAACCAGCAAAGAGGAGGAAAAAGACAACATTGGGAATTTCATGGAATGGGGGAAATTATATGGGTGTACAACGGCAACGATTCGTGAAACATGGATTCTTAAGCGTGCAATAAATGCATAAAATAGCATGTGCAGGAATCGATGTTCATCCGCACGTACAACAAACGGTTGACGGAACACAACTGGGAGGCGCCGTCATTCACAGCACGTTGGGAAAAAAAAAAGTGGCATTCTTAAAAACGTAACCGTGACCCCAAATCGCACCAATTAATTTAATCACCGGGAGTAGGAGGTTGATTGTTCTCCCACTGGTGAATTGCATGGAGGTACAGTACTGCAGGTGGGTTTATGCAGATCCAGGTACAAACGTCGTGGGGGAGGGGCCGCTTATCCAGCAGTGCATTGACAAAAAAAATGCACAAAAAAATGCTTTTTTTTGTGCACGTCCACACGAATTAGTGGGGGGAGGTGCCAAGGACACGGGAAGCAGCAGCGTGACTGCAGGAAGGGGGGGGGGGGGGGCCCGAAGGCGGTTACCCGGCGCGAGCGACGCCGCGCCCGTGCGTGCGTGCGTACCGGCCAGCAGGGCGTGCGGGGGCGACGTGGGCGGTGTGAGCGTGCCGCACGACGTGGGGTCCCGTGCGCCCCCGGGTGGGTAGAGCGGGGCGAGCAGCAGCGCCTCGCTCTGCGGCACGAGAACCAGCGCCGCCGGGAACACCATGCGCACGCCGCCTGCAGCAGAGCGCAACGTAGGCCTCGCACGTGAGGACGGCACGGCACGCGGGCCCTCCTTTCGCGCCGCACGTAGCGAACGGTGCTAATCGGAGGTGTGTGTGTGTGTGTGTGGTGGGGGGGGGGGGGGGGAACGACAAACTAAACACAAAAAGTAATTCGGAAGAAACAAGCGGTTCAATCGAGACGATGCGAAAGTGCATAGCTCCAGTGGCTTCCTAACATGGGAAAGGAAAAGCATTGCAGACGGCCGCAGAGGCGCGTCCGAAAGCACGCGACATATAGCCACGAGCAGACTGCCAGGGCATGTGCTGTTGGCGAGCATCCAATAAGGCCGGCAAGGCACATGAGGGGGTGGGAGTGGGGTGGGGGGGTGACAGCCAGCACCAAGCCCTGCTGCCTCCGTGTCTCCCCGGCGCTGTCTACACACAATGCACCAGGAACTAATTCCAAGGCCGAGTCGACCTAGGGGAGGGCCCAAGACCGGGTTCAGATATTTCCGTCACCAATGGTGGCCGCGAGCAGCAATCCAACTCTGTCAACGGGATTCATTGCGCGGCGCGTTAACATGATGGTTGAAAAGGGGGATTTCGTCGTTACGCACGGCAGCAGCAGCAGCAGCGGCGGCGTTCACAGGCGTCGTAAAGGACACGCTGCGGCACCGCCGTGACGCATCAACTCCAGCCAGAGCTGGGGCTCTATGGGCCTTAGCGAAATAAACCTAAAGAAGTTGAAGGAACTCGGGCAATGTAACAAGTTTGAGAAGTGTCGGTGCTATAATGCAACACCTCACTGGAGACCACCAGCATCAAGCCTGCTAAATAATATATTCCGATCAGAGATTGCACCGAGGATGTACGGAGCCTTCTGAAAGAAAAAAAACATCGATGGGCACATCTTAAAGCCAGCGGTCAGACACGCGAATCAATTTAACTGGAACATTTCCCTCATCTCCAATTTAAAATCACTTCGGGCCTATTTTCACCGAGAGAAACGTATTCTACAGACAACAGGACCTTTGCAATAGCGACTTGTTGCTACGTTCACACTATCTTTGAAGACCCTCCACGGGGTTCACTGGAGACCCTGTGGAGAGAGACGTATTCAGCCGCACGAGACACAGCAAACCAAGGCAGCGTTCACCAAGGCAGCTAATGAGAGGAGGCAGACCGCCACGGGGGTAAGCACGGGGGGGGCGTGACGATGGGGGGGTCGAGGGAGGGCCTCACTCACCGACGAGGACTTCCACCGCGACGGGCGCGTCCTCATCCTGCATGGGCTCCGAGGCTCCGTCCTCTCCGCCCCCTGGCGCCGCCGACGCCGCGCCGGCGCCCATCATGCCGTCCCAGCCGGAGCTGCTGCCGGGCCCCACGGTGCCGGTGGCCACCACGGGGTAGAACTGCTGCCACTCCTCGATGAGCTTGCGCGTGCTGGCGTCGCTGCGCTTGTACGCCTGGCCCGTGAGCACGGCGCTCAGGCCATACGGGCTCAGGATCACTGCGGAACAAAAGTCGAAAAAAGGATCTCACGCTCGCCGGTATTACCAAATACTCCAGGTGAAAGTAAAAAAAGAAAACCCCTCGGCCGGCCGTACTTTCGCATGTAACTAGAACCACGTCAGCTAAATGTTTGGAATTATTTCTCACCAGCCGCCCTTCTCTAGGCCCCACACCCAGAGCTGAAATTCGCGCTCGCGCCCGGTAGGTGGCGTCGGAAGTGTCGTCATCTCCACGCGTTTTCCAACCACACCCCAGCCCCCCATCGACGGTCTCTCTAAGCCGTCTCTCTCCCACGTTCCTTCGCTACAGTTTTCGTCAGCGTCCAACGTCCGTTTTTTTTACTTCCCCCAGACATCACAATTAGAATCATCCTCATTTAGACTGTAGAAGGAATCCGATGAGCTACGAAGCTCTTTTTTTTAAACAGAGGTCACGGTATGGACGGGGTCAGACGACGGCAAACAATTGCAAAAATACAAATCGGGAGTGCGAGAGAGAACACCACCGTCAAAGCAAGTCACTAAACACAAATAAATGTTTGCGTTAAGCGAGGCAAGATTGGGCAAGGCAGCAAAAACAAACATCAATGCAGCCAGTGTGTACAGTGCAGACGTGCATGCCCGTACAGTACCTATTTTTTTTATATATATCCTTACATCGTGTTAAAAAGCATCCAACACAAATATCCTTTCACTACACGTCGCACGCGTTTGTAATGTTTTATGGAGATGTTTAAAGTGTGACTATATTTACCTGTGTGTGATTTATAGAGCCGTTTAGGATTTTATTATATTGATTTAGACCGATTTTCATTGGTGGCGCAGCAGGCCAAACCAAGGCCCCCCCCCACCCCCCGTGAGTCCGGATAGGCTGCTATACACGAGGTCGCGGGTTCCATCCAGACCCTGACGCCTGCTGTATATTGAGTTTGCGTGTCTTTCTCTCCTAAGTAGTTTATATAGTTTAGTTTATCGTTTTAACACTTTTGTTTAACGCCAATTACCACCGCCCCGCCACTGCCGGACACGACGGCACATCGGTGACCTCGGCCCGCGAGCCAGCGGGGTGTGCCCGGGGGGGGGGGGTGGGTGCGCGTCTCCTTACCGTTGAGGGGAGAGCTTGAAGCACTGGCCAGGTCCAGCAGGTCCACGTCCAGGCGGTAGAGCGGCGCATGCTGGCAGATCTCCACGCTCGTGCACACGTTGCTGTCCCCGTGCAGGAAGAAGGAGAACGAGCAGGACAGGTGCTCGCTGCAACCACGGAGACAAGGCGGGGGCCGAGGGGGGCGGGGCGAGGGAACAGAGAGGAGACGCCACGACCGACAGTGAGCTGCGTGCCCAGAGGAGGAGGAGGGGAGGGCCAATGAGACTCTGCTCCTATCCTCGTAGTGCCGGGCGGAACGCGACAATGCTCTGCGAGTCAGCGGTGAACACGCGGCGCTGGCAAAGCAAACTGCGCTTCCCGTACCACCAGTGCAGCACTTCTTGCCCGTCTAAACTCTTGCATTCAGCGTGCCGATGAAGATGCCCATGAAGATATCGCTTTTACTGCGCTCTCTGGTGCGGAGATACAAACATCTCCAGGCACCGGGGGAGTCGGAAATCCGTAGCGTTCTGAGGGTATCCGAGGTGAGCCCGAGCTATTGATAGTACACACGTCCCCCCGGGCATAAGTTGCCAACTTATGATGGAAGGAGATGGAGGGGAACGCTGTGTTATTGTTGTGCTTCGTTCCCTGCAGCCACAATCCAGGTTTTGCAGAGTTATCGAGACCTTCAGAACATGCTGGCAGCTGCTGAAATAACTATAAACGATACTTCAGCTCGCCTGAGCTCGGTTTTCGGAGGGAGTTAGCGGCACGATTCACCGCCACCCTCACCCACTCTTAAGGAACAATAATATAACTTAATAAGGACCAATGTAAAACTGATATTTTGTTATGTCACCGAAGGATTGGTTCAGATATCGCTCGCCACCGATATCGGGTTTGCCGAGTTGGTAGTGCGGTGTGTGTGGGTTCCTAGAGCTGTATGCACGGTTACCAAAGCTCCATTTTTATCCCAAGATAAACGGGATGACTCCTCCAGTATAAATAAATAAGAAATATTTCAATTCAGGTTCTGAACCAAATCGGGGAAAACACAACAGGGGAAACTCTCGCTGCGGTGGCTAGGAGATGTTAACTAGCTCGCCCCGTTTCCAGGAGGTCGTGGGTTCGATCCCAACCCTGACACCTGTATATTTGGGGTTTGCAAGTCTCTCTCTCCTCGTGGTCATGTGGATTTTTCCCTTCGCATTTACAAACATGCATTTCGACGATTTGGCATGATGCAAGCCACGTCCTTCGTTGGGGCTATAATTTGCGGTGGCCAGGTTGCTTATGAAAAATAGCTACAAAGCTCAGTGGGGGGGCTTTACCTGGTAAGTAAAAAAAATATATAATAAAATCGTAGTAGTATTTAATTAAGGCCTTGGGGGGCCAGGGGCTACACATTTGGGAGGGAGAGAATTTCTCCCTGCTCACGTTGCTACCAAGCAAGAGCACGAAGATGCCCAGAACCACATGGCCAATTGTGACCGGACAGCAGACGCTTCACGGGCTACACACAGCCGGTCGTACAGCAGGATATACACACAGCCAGCCAGACAGGGGAATACACAGCCGGTCGTACAGCGGGGTATACACACAGCCAACCAGACAGCGAGGTATACACACAGCCGGCCAGACAGGGGTATACACACAGCCAGCCAGACAGGGGAATACACACAGCCAGCCAGACAGGGGAATACACAGCCGGTCGTACAGCAGGGTATACACACAGCCAGCCAGACAGGGGAATACACACAGCCGGTCGTACAGCGGGGTATACACACAGCCGGCCAGACAGCGATGTATACACACAGCCGGCCAGACAGGGGTATACACACAGCCAGCCGGACAGCGGGGTGTAGACACAGCCGGTTGGGACAGCAGGGTATACACAGAGGTCGGATTGCGGGCTATACCCAAAGTAGTCCGGCCAGCGAGCTGTGCATAACACAGGAGAGAGCACAGGTGTACAACACCGTGCAGGCCAAACCAGAGACAATACACACAGCAGGGCAAAGCGATGGACTCTCACCTCTTCTGCACTGGCTTCTCATCCCTCTCGTACGGCTTCACGAACCACTTGCCAATGCGGACGAAGCTCTTGTTGAATAAACACCTGGAGGGCCGAACGAAACGCGCAATTAGCACCTCAGCCGTAACATTGTTTCTTTTGTGTAACTATTCTTATTAAACTAATAAGCAGTTAAAAGTAAATATATATTTTTTTACAAACCATAAAATGTATTTACCACTCATGCTAAAGATGGGCTTGCGCACACACACAAACAGAGGATTCAACCGAACATTGAAAAGACCTTCCGATAAAATGTTTAGATTTCAGGAGTGGGCAGAGGTTTGCATCCAGGAAGTTAAGATTTTTTTTTTCTCAAACGCAGAGAATAAATAGTGCATGGGAAGAAACCGGAGTTGCTTTAATTTGACCTTGCCTGGTAACGCAGGAGGTTGTGGGTTTAATCCCGACACCTGTGGTCCACCAGTTTTCTCCCTCCACATTTAGAATCAACATCACGCGTTTATAGAGTAGTCACTTCGTTGAGCTATCATTTGTGATGGCCAGGCTGCTTCTGAAAGACAACTATACAGCTCAGTGGGCCTTACCTGGCAAATAAAAAGTTCAGTTTAATGTTGGCCCGAGCCTACAACCTACAATTTGGCAAATTCTAATAATGGCTTGTGGGCGTTTGCCGATGCCCGCAGAAGCGTGACGCCAGTCAAAAACGTGCTTTCGATTAAACGGATCCCACACGCATCCCCCCCCCCCCCCCCCCCCCCCCCAAGTCTTTCGGCCTTGTCAAGACGACCGCGCAGACGTGTTCACGTCTACACGGTTGTCCCATGCGCACGCGCTCACGCGTGTGCGCATAGAGTACACGCGTGTGCGCGTAGAGTACACGCGTGTGCGCGTAGAGTACACGCTCACCTCTCAAGCAGGTTGTGGATGGCTTTGAAGAGCAGCGTGCGACATTCGTACGTGAGTCCATTATCCCAGGAGCCTTCTTCTTCACCTACACAAAAGGGGGTGAATGTGCGACATGCACACATACGATTAGTTCACCGACGTAGAAAGGTCAAAACAAACAGACTTCCTACTCAAGTAAAAGCATCTTGCATGAGTGGAAGGGGAATGTGGGGTGGTGGTGGTCTAGGCTCCATAAATTGACACAGCACACAGCTACAAGCGATAAGCCGCCACGTGGTTATTACTTATATTTCAGACGAACGCTTAAAACAGTGCTTCAAAGTTGAACAGATAGCAGAAAGAGGGGTGGAAACCAGATTATAGGTACGGGAATAATTGTAACCCCTCTCCTCTTTGCCGTGACTCCACTTTGTTTATCAAACAATATTCGATAATTAAGGCCGCGGCGGCGGCTTTGTCCACACGCCGCGCCCCCTCGTGGTGCAGAGAAGGAAGCGAGGCATTGTGGGTAGTAGAGAGTGGGGGGGGGGTATTCAGGCGGTATGGGGCAGGCGCACAAAGTGGCCACGTCAAAAGAGTACATTGCCTATGCCCGTGGCCCTGCGACAGGTACACTAACGTCAACGATACAGGACACCCCTGTGAGCTTAAACACACAGTAAGCTTTCGCGGCCAATATTATCCATTCGAGACAATTCTGGGTGAGATCGCGTAAAGATGCGTCGTTAAACCCGTCACCGCCCCAACACAGCCAATTAGCAAGGGTTTGTCACGTAACACAAAACGTGCCAATTTGTTACTAGCAGCACACTGGTTGTGTTGGGGAGTAAACCCATAACGTTTACAATTTGAGTACCGGGATGTTTCGCTGGTAATCACAACCAGCCTCATCAGGCGGCAGCTGCAGGTTGCGATTCACATGGAAGCATTAAAAAAATTCTGGAATACGATTAGCACACTCATGTGAACAGCGGCAATGGACTAAAACAGATGGGGTTACAAACAAACCAGAATTGCTGCCCGGCGAAAAGTTCCCCTCCATTGTGCCAATCTAATAAGAGGTTTTCTCGCTGGATACATATTGCTGCGGTTACTGGCTGGCTTCTAACCTCTAATTACACACCAAAAATTTGTGTTTTTATCGTGTCCCGAAGCAAAGCGATGTCCCCGCCTGGAATTATTCCAGACACCAGGGAGATTCACATGCAAGCATTCAAAAAAACCTCTCGACTATATGATGGCACGCAGTTACGTAAAGAGCAACCTCAACATAACTCCCTCAACCAACGTATGTGTGCAGAACTTATTTCGCAGCGTACGCAGCCAACCGTGCTAACAATAACATATGGCCATTTACTTGCAACACGGGCATGGGGCACGTGTCAATCAACAGTTGCAAATGTAAATATTAACACACATCTGGGCTAGGATGTTTTTTTTATGTATACAGGCAGTTGGCCATTTTCTTGAAAAACAAGTTTCCTTATTCCAAGATGGAAAGTTCATTGCAGAACGTTAAAGGCAAAGGCCTGTAACTGCTTACGCACACCACTGCTGGCAAAAGGGCCTCCCCACTAGAGGCAGCTCCAGAGCAAGCACCTATACGGAGGGGGTGCGCCTTGGTAGTTTGGCCCACGGTATCCAGGTTGAGTGGATGTGCCGAGGTCTTTGGGTTGGAATAGAGAATTTTGTTTTGGGTTAAGATCGTTAAACCCGCCACAGCAAATTAGTAGTGTTTTTACGTGACAAACCTTACCAATTGGCCGTGTCGGGTGGTGGCGGGTTTAAAGACATTTGGTCGCGAAAGACTACGTGTTAAACTGTTTAAAGCGATGCGAGTACCCGACTATTTAAGTATCCCCACCCCTCCCTTCCCCCCCCCCCTTCTCCTCCCCACACGCAACCTACAAAATTTGGTGTTCCCGTTTTGGCTGCTATGTGGAACAGAAGCAGTGGGTAGGATTTAAGAAACCTGCACCGTTGTTTGCAGTGCCGCGACTTAACCCCAACAATCCATCTCTCTTCTCCCGAGCCCACGGGTCGGCAACCACCAAAATAAAAGGAGCACAATTTTTAGAATTCGGTAACAAAAATATATGAACCAATTTTTTTCCCAAGAGCCGCAATGCACGTGGCGAAGACGAGACTCACGGTGGGCTCCTTAATAAATAACGGTCACGAAGCAGCTCCTGAAAGAGCCACCTCGTGCCGCTCCAGAGCCGCAGGCTTGAGACCCCAGCCCGAGCCCATCCTGTTACACTGCTGCTCCCTACCACCACCCCGACCAGCTACCATCAGGCCTACCACCACCCCTACCAGCTACCATCAGGTCTATCACCACCCCTACCAGCTACGATCAGGTCTATCACCACCCCTACCAGCTACGATCAGGTCTATCACCACCCCTACCAGCTACCATCAGGCCTACCACCACCCCTACCAGCTACCATCAGGTCTATCACCACCCCTATCAGCTACCATCAGGTCTATCACCACCCCTACCAGCTACCATCAGGTCTATCACCACCCCTATCAGCTACCATCAGGTCTATCACCACCCCTACCAGCTACCATCAGGTCTATCACCACCCCTATCAGCTACCATCAGGTCTATCACCACCCCTACCAGCTACCATCAGGCCTACCACCACCCCTACCAGCTACCATCAGGTCTATCACCACCCCTACCAGCTACCATCAGGTCTATCACCACCCCTACCAGCTACCATCAGGTCTATCACCACCCCTATCAGCTACCATCAGGTCTATCACCACCCCTACCAGATACCATCAGGCCTATCACCACCCCTACCAGCTACCATCAGGCCTATCACCACCCCTACCAGCTACCATCAGGCCTATCACCACCCCTACCAGCTACCATCAGGCCTATCACCACCCCTACCAGCTACCATCAGGCCTCCCACGACCCTACCAGCTACCATCAGGTCTATCACCACCCCTACCAGCTACCATCAGGCCTACCACCCCCCCGTACCAGCTACGATCAGGCCTACCACCACCCCTACCACTGCCCCAATCACTGTCATTACCCCTTACCATAACCCCTCCTTAACCACTCCCACCTGTTCTCCTGTCACCATAACTCCACCACCACCTTTCATAACCCCACTCTTTAAATCGCAATCACTATCTGATGTACAATTTTGTAATTGCTGTAAACGGCCTTGGAGTAAGACGTTATATAAACCTACATAAGATAAGATCCAACCGGTGACCTCTGGATTGTAAGCACAGTGTTCTAACCATTACACCAAGGCACACTGCCAACACCAAGGCAGTATCCCTCAAACTGCCAGGACAGGGGCCTCCAAAGGTCCAGCACAGCCTTTTCAGACAGTGGGTGGTGGGGTTAACACAACATCCAGCCAGTTACAATATTAATACCATGAACAATTGTATATCATTTCCCTTCGAGATAGTTTTTTGTTCTCCCCTTCAGTTTACTTTAGTATGTGAATTAACATGTCATAATATTCTAGCACACGTACACACACACACCCCCCGGCCGCGCCCTATCAGTTGCCAAACTACAAAAGTTATATCCGTCAATTTCTTACACGCTATAAAATAAAACTAACAAAAAACGTGTCAAGTCTCGTCTTCACAAGAGCCTGGGTTGAACCTTGATTTAAATCGGGCGAAGGCCCATCCCGATAAAGCTGAAGTGCTGATCCACAAAGGCAAAGTGCGGAGATGGTGGAAAAGTTTATATGGGCCGAGCTATTGGTGGTTTCGCAAGTATCCAGAGGGTCCGAGTGAAATACCTGCCTGGATCTCTCTCAGGTATCTCATCAAAACACTTCTCCTGCCCTGCACCACATCTGTTGGCCCACAGAACACTTTAACAGTCTACTTGACCCACTCAGCTCCCTCTAGCCACCACCCAGCCAAACAGGAGTTGTTCGGGCATTCACAGAGGCAGCGCATGCAACCGGGCTTCATTCGGCCCAAGTATCCTCACATCTGCCGGTGGAGTCAAATGATGGGAAACGTATGCCAGCATTTAACAAGTAATCTGCTAGTTCCTCAATCAAATGAAGACAATCCGATAACAGATCACAGACAGGTCTGCATGAATGTACCAATGCAGGTGCTTCCTTAAAAGGAGATCAACTCCTCACAAGATCAGATAACAGATGGTACGATTGTGTCCGGAAACACCAGGAGATTGTGGAATGACAGCCCAAATCCACGGCGCTCGCCACAAGAGCGCAACAAAGTCGATGAACGGCGTTCATGCCACTCGTCCAATTCAGAATGAGACCTCTGCCAAAAAAAAGTCAGAGCCAGCCACGATCGCCTGCTGTTCTCAGCAGGTTGGCACCTCGTGCGAAATGGGATTGTTGTCTTTGTTGTCGGTGGGTGTTATTGTTGTTAAACAAAGAAACCGACGTGGGCACTAATTCAAATCCTCCTCCTCCATCAAAGAGGGAGGAAGGGAGGGGTGGTGTCGTCAGAGACAGAGTACCCTGGCAGGTACGGTATTCTGTTTGTCAAGGTTTACATATTCAGGCTCCATCACGTGAAGCGGCGGAACTCTAGATTTATCAGCAAAACCTGTCGCTTGTTTCGAAGAACGGGCAGCACTGGGTGATCGACGGTTAACAGGCAGGGGAGCCAACATTTTCATTTTACCCCCAGGGCACTTATCAGCACCTTCCTATTGTACTCCATGCCATATGGAAATACAATGGGTAACGCCATGGAAGGCTCCCCTCAAATGACAGTTACAGAAAGGCATTAAACAGAAGTATAGGTGCCAGAGGACACCCCTAAATGCACCTCCAGGTGCACGGGGAATGGCTCCAGACCACTATGGCGGCGGTAACGGCGCCTGCCCACGCTCAGGAGAGGCACACGTAATAATGATAGCGAGGAGCAGGGGTCTTGGGGGCCCCCCCCAAAGGGCGAATAGAATAACCCCAAGCTCCGACTTCTTAAATGGTATAATAGGGCATGATAAGGTCTATTAAGCAGCAGTTAAAGTCCTCTTGGAATTCCTTACACCGCTACCGTGAGTGCTTCTCCTGTTTGGTTGAAATTACTTACAGTTGCCAAACA